TGTTCAGTACCACAATTTTCTGTAGTTTTAAATTATAGTTAGTACGGTATCAAGTTCCATACTGTTACTATGTTTTCTGCGATTTATATATGTAACCCAATGTCAATGTTTGTAATCTATGTTTTGTATCCTTGTATCCTACTGTTTTGTTTGAAATAAATGCGTTGCAGGATGCCCATGAGTCTCATGGGCTTAGGCTGGCTACTTTCCTCTTTCCTATCTTACTATGCTTCACCTTCAGTCTTACCCCCCTCTCAACTAACTTTAATCCTTCTTCCTTTTCTAGTCTACCCAGGGCTATACCTATTGGTCAGGCCCTTTCTCTCTGTCTGTCTGTAGTGTCACCCCATAGAGACTAAATTGTACATAGAGATTACAGATACATTTTTCACATTAACATGCTTTATCAACGTTCTAGTTCTACACTGTACTTAAGAGATTTGTAATGGAGCATTAATTCTAAATGCAAAGTGAGTTGTTGACCTTTTTTTTTTTTTTTTAATCATCAGAATTTTTTCATTGAGCTATTCGGACTTGAGTAGCTAATATTGAAAGATTAATTGCGGGCCGCATAAATTCATTAGATGGGCTGGATACGGCCATACCTGGTATAGATGCTTCCACCATTTGAGCCCCAGATATGGAGCTTTACCAAAAATTCTATAAATTCAACGTTACTTGATAAAAGAACTCACCGTTTTTGTCCATTTAAAACGAATGAAAACATTTGTTTTAGGTAAATATACTGGACTTTTACAACTGGTTTTTGGTGTTTTCTAAGTATTCATATCTAAGTACTACAAGCAGTGCCATAACTAGCCATTCCTGTGCCTTGTGCAAGAACTTGCATTTAGGCCCCTTAATTAATTAGGTTTGGAAAAATAATAAAACAAACACTTGCATTTTGGGACACTCTTCCAAATGGGCCCTGTGCAGGTGCACCTGTTGCACCTGCCTAGTTACGGCACTGACTACAAGTTCTAATAAAATTATTGTTGAAGTTACAATCAACAAAAAAATAAAAATAAATTTCTTATATATGTAAGCAGTCAGATATTCAGTTTTCATTTTGTTCTAAACATCCTTGAATTCTTTCTCAAAAAAATCTTATACTTGAAGAATTTTTGCTTTACTGAGTGATTTGCATGCTATGTCTTTTTATGATTTTGTTAATTCCAGGTAACTCTAATGGACAACATCTTTAATCTTGCCCCATAAGTTACAAAATATAAAGCAATCATTAAATAACAACATACAATAAAATTGACAAATTGTAGTGACAGTGCACAAACATAGTTTTGAACTACAACTTCCACAGACTTCTATTCCTCAAAAAGACAGAAGAGACCTGACAGTATTGACAATCTCAAGACTCGAGTCTGACTCCCACTTCTTTCCTTTATGTATACAACTGAACTACAATAAACAATGTAATTTCCCCAATGACCCATTCTAAGAAAACATAACTGCTTTATATACATACACAACCATATGTGGAGTAAAATATCATGGTACAAAATTAAATCATGCACCATCAAAAACTTCAGTGAAAGAAAAAAGTGTAATATAAAAGTAAACTACTGCATTTATGAAAGTTTACAACTGATGAAATATTAAAAATTACAAAATATAAAACTATCTGTTAAAAATCAAATAATTATATAACAAATTAAATAGCAATGAATAATATATGTATTAATTGATATATTGTTCTTTTCATTTTGAATACAGATATCTAATTTTTTCTTTTTTTTTTTTTTGTGTTATNGGCAATTGATATCCATCCCCCATTTAACAAACACCCCCAAAAACATAGTGCAATTAAAACCAAAAAATAACAAAATATGTATATACAGTCAAACCTCAGTTTTCAAACAATTCAGTTCCCAAATAGAATTTTGAATTCATAAATGCACTGGTTGCCATACTATAACTCAGGTGCCAAACAACTACTTGGCAGGAGTAGGCCACAGATGGTTAACTCTCCATACTTGCTATCTGATTAAAGAAAGATTGTTAATTTAAAAAAGTTGACAGTTCAACGAATCAATGACAGGACTACTGATTCAGAAGTTAGTGGTGATGAGATTGCCTCATTAGACATCACAACTCGAATCATTGATAATGTTGCTATTTAAATTAGATTTTAATGTGCATATGGAAAAGATACTATTTCTGTTTTTCTGTACACATCACAGTTGAATCTAAATGAAATTAATTAATAAAAACTGTGTTAATTGACATTTACGTAATATAAATGGCATTGAAAGAATTAGCAAGGAAATTCTAGGATTTCGAGATAAAAANTATTCTAAATTATTTAATAAATATTAATTTAATTATAATTATTAAATTTAATAAGAGATGGCACCTAATGCCTCCCTCTAGTGACATTAATAATTTACTAAATAATAAATAATGAGACAAATTATTTAGTAATTAATTAAGTATAACTGCAGAAAAGTAGCCTGATGTAATCCAGTGGTTGTTTGGTTTTACATACCATTAAATATATTTTCCTTGTTTTTTCTTAGAAGCCAGAGGCATACCCAGGATCTAAACTAGAGGAGGGCAACTTGAGGAATTGGGGAGGAAGAGTGAGATTTCACGACAGATGGCTCTAGTCTAGTCACAATAATCATTATTCAAACTGATACTAAATTGATACATCTGTGCTGTGTGTCTGTGTGTCAAGTACTACACTTTAATTTTTCTTCTAGGAAGGGCAGCTGCCCCTCGCTGGGTATGCCCTTGTTAAAAGCTATTTTCTAGTTAACAGTATTTTTCTAAAATCTATTTTATAAGAATTAAAAAATTTACAAATTAGATTAATATTTTCAGTGAAAAATTATTCATTGAAAATGCTATATTTCCTTGGTTCTAGAATTAGCAAGGAAATTCTAGGATTTTGAGATAAAAATTTAAGATTTTTTTTTATGGAG